GACCTGCATGCTAATGCCATCCACCCACGCACTGAGCTCGAGGGTTCGGTACCTAGCACGTGTCGTCTCCATCATGTCGTATAGGTAAGCCCTAGTCCAAGCAACTGGCTGAAGGCAACCTTGCAAAATGGAACGACATACTGTCAGAAAGTCAGAGGCCTCTGGTCCGACCGATGGTTAGGACTCGGTCAGCTGCGTGCATAGCCATGCCTAGGTACATGATACCGACGGGGTAATTCAGCTGCTTCCCTAAGACAATAAATAAAGAAGGGTGCCGAGGTGTCGAATAACTTTTTGGCGCCCAGGAGCACCAGGGACCAATCGCAATTTTTCCAGGAGGCAGCTTCGGCTCGGGCGAGGCGAAGCAGGGCAGCACGAATGGATCGGAACCCGTTGACTGCAGCGCCCCAAAAAGCCAGCACGTGATCTTTCCCATTGGGAGATGGGGTCCTTCCGAAGACGGCTCCAAACACGGTAGAGGCTCTGGGTGCGGGTAATAGGGCGGTCTCCTTCACCTGTGGGCTTGGGGTGCATGCCTACCTCGTTGAGTAAAACTTGGGCCGGCCATCTGCGCTCCGCCTCGATCGACACAAGCAAGTCGAGCAGGGCAGTCTGGCCATCCTCTGGGAGATCTGCCCACAGCTGCGGGTGCCACTGGCATGCTCCTTTGCCCATGATGGCAGGGCAACACTTGCATACATTGAAAAGATGTCGAGGATCGAGCGGCGGCAAGTCGCGCATCGCCCCGAGCGCCTCGTCGCGAAAGGTTCGCCACCAGTCCTGTTCAACGGCCCGTCCTTGCCTCTGTGGATCAGTCCAAAGAGATTTCCACCTGTGGGCCTTGATCTTCAGCGATTCACTAGCTTCCCAGAGTGGGGCCCCAGAGTCGTCCACTTTGATTTTGGGCGTGGGCTCTGGCAGGCCCCAGGTCCTGGCGTGGTACTGAGCCCATTTGGCCCCTCCTTTTAGGCTCTCCTGGAGCCACTCCTGGAATCCTTTCTTCTCGGCGCGGTAGGCGAGCTTGCCGGCATGGTCCCGAAGGCACTTGCAGAGCCGAGCCGTTGTCCGAGCCCCCTCGAGGTCTAGTTCGTGGATGTTCTCAACCCCCAGCAGGAACTCCTGGAAAACCTCCCGGGCCTCCGAGGGGGCCATGCAGGGTGAAGCCGAGGTGACCTTGGAATGTATGAGGGACCCGAAGTGGAGCCTCCTGCGCTTTTTGCCCTCTGAGTCCACCCCGACGGCAGCCCCGATGAGGTCCTGAAAGCGCGCAACCATCGCCTTCCAAAAGGCAAGCTGCTCGGTGCTGCCTGCTCGCGACGATGGCCCTGCAGGCGCTGCTAGCTTGGCGGCGAGCTGCGGCGCCCGCCCTCGATGGCGGTGAACAGGCCGAGCAGGGTCGCCGTGCTTAGAAAGATGCAGCGCCTCCGCTGCAAGAGAAAAAACTGCGCACTGCCTGGGTATCGCAGAAGGAGCACAGGCAGCTGCGGCGTTGCACTTCGGCCCTGGGGCTTGTTCGACCAGCCCCCGAGTGCTCTGAGCGAAAGCGGCCCGCGGACGCGTCGGCCCCTGGAACCCAAGCGGGAGAGGCGGGGGTTCGACCAACACCTGCATTTGCCTGGAGACGCACTGCTTGCGGAGCTCACCTATGAGGCCGATGCGCGGCTGAGCCCAAGGCCCGCGATAATCGCATTCAAGAGAGATCTTCGAGGAGGGGCCTGGAGACCAAGAGGTAGTCGATAACCCTCCCCCCGAACTGCCCATGGGCCCCTCGGGGTAACACGAACGCGGCCCCCAGGTAGTTTTCGATGTCCGATGTCCTGACCTGGTCGACCTCCACGTTCCAATCGGCAGCCCAGACGAAAGGAATACCCAGGGCCAGGATCTCACAGGATATTTCCCCCATCATTTCCATATTGGACCCAGCGAGGCCCTCCCCTTCGGCAAAGTAGGCTGAAATAAACAAGACGCTCGTCCCGTGGATGCGTAGCTCCCCGGCGGCCCACCGCCCCTGGCCCTGAGCTGGAGTGGACCACTCAGTTTGCCGAAGGCGGATGGGGGCGAGAGGCAAGGTGGGAAGAGATCATAACCCACGTGCCTCCGTGCCCAAGCTGGCACCCTACTTGAGTGGCTCGAGCTTCACGGCCTTCCACCTGCCAGTGGTCTCGCCGAAGATGTCGAGCAGCTGCGTGATATCCCCCCCCCCCCCCCCCCCCCCCCCGAAGATGAGCCCCTGCTCCCATCTGGATGTGGATCTGGTGCTTGTGCCGAAGCTCCCCGATATACTTCTGGCCCAGCTCGGTCCACTTGGTGTAGTTACCGAGAAAGAAAATAACGTCATTCGTCTTTGCATGCTTCGGGTGTCCGTATTGCCTGAGCTCCCCTGGCTGCGGTGCCTGAGGTACTCCCACTCGGTTGTTATCCGGGGGTGCCTGGCTGTCGGGCTCCACCTCCTGGGTCTCCGACTGCCTGGGTTCGGGTGGGTCAACTTATCGCATAATTGCTGGCCATCCACCCTGGGCCCCATGTTGATCCTCGAGCTGGTCGAGTAGATCATCCACGTCATCCATGTTGGTCCTCCTGAGCTTGCCATCCGTCTCCTTCTGCGGCGCAGTGTTATCGGTTGGCGTTATGTTAGCTGTAGGTGGAGGCGCATTCTCGATATCTGGGCTGGCATCCCCAGCTGCCTCCGACGGTCGGTGCCCTCTGGCCCCGCTGCGCTGGTCTGGCAACGCTGAGCAGTGCGCGCCGACGGCTCCTGCCGACGGTCGGTGCCCTCTGGCGCCACCTCGGTCAGCCGGCGGGGCTGAGCGGCGCGCGCCGTCGGGGGCCGAGGTGCCCGATGAGGAACCAGCCGCTCTCTGCGACGACGCCCTCCGCATCTGGGTCGACCGTGCCCCCACCCCCGAGGAGCGGGCCAGATGGGGGAGGTGTCTAGGAACTTCGCGCGGCGACCTCTGCGACCCCATTGGGGTCGTGAGTGCACCGCGCGTCGAGGATGGACCAGTAGACGACCTGGTGCAGCTCGAGGTTGGTCCCGTGCATGTCGTAGAGTAGGCCCTCCCCACCTGCGGCGACGTGGGAGGCCCTTATCTGGCGTTAGTATGTCCTGTTGGGTATTCCCATCCCCCCTGTATGAATGAGCCGCACCTTCTCCAAAATTGTGGGTCTGATCGCGCTGTAGGTAGTGTCGGGCCCCTGGACACTGCGCATCATCAGCCTCTGGTCCAAAATAGTGGTAGCTGGGGTGCTCTAGGAAGCGCGCCCGACATGTTCTTGCAGGTGGCGCTGGCTGCGTGCTACCCGCGCTGCTTGACGCCACTGCCCTTGATGGCGCCCTTGCCCGCCAGGACGGCGGCAGCCCGCTCCTTGGCGTTGGGCCGGGGCTGGGAGGTGGCGTCGGCGGCGACTGTTGCCCCTGAGGGGGCCCCTGGGGTGGCGGCGGGCTCGGCGCTTGGGTGGCCCCCTGAGGCCTGAGCTCCGTCGTCGCCGCCTGCAGCGCCAGCAGCACGGCCCCCAGGAGGAGCAAACTCTGCGCGGGGCCGCTTGGCCTTGAGCCTCTGCTTCTGCGCCTCGCGGGTGGCCCTGGTCGCACTTCTGCTTGGTTTCCTGCAAGAGCTGGGCGGCGACTTTTTGCATGGAGGCCTTGAGCTCCTCCTTGCGCTTGGCAATCTCGGATTCGTCTTCTGCTCCCAACTCGTATTCATCTCCCATGTCGAACATCCCGCCGTCGTCGAAGAGGTCCTCGGCCTTGAGCTGCCCCTCAAGGAGGGCTTGCAGGTTGAGATTGGCACGGGCGGCGGTGGGTTCTTTGGCGCCGACTGTGGCCTGGCACTCCTCCTCGAGGACGGCCTTGTAGGCGTTCTCCGCATCTGTGAGGTCGCTAACCAGCGCGTGAACGAGCTCAGCCTGCACAGTAGTCTGCTTCTGGAGGTTGGCCAGAGTGTCCGTGGCTGCGTTGAGCTTCTTCCCGATCGCAGAAACCTTACGCTGGGCTTGTGCAGCTCGCTAGTGGACGGGGCGGACCACGCTGGCCTTGCCCAGTTCCGCCTGGTACTTGGCCGCCGTGGTGGCGTCGCCCATCTGAATGGCAATGTCCACCAGCTTCTGGAGGTCGGCTGGCGAGACTTGGGAAGTGGTTCCTGCTGCACGTCCCTGGTTCCGAATCCACCGGTTGGTGCCTTTGCCCCCTTTCCCGTCAGCCCATGGCGTAAGTGCAGTGTCGGGATCCTGGCGTGGTCGGCGACAGTGTTTGCACCAGGTCCAGTGCAGGAGGTTCTGGCCACACCCGCACATGCTGCACTTCCACCTCCCGTCAGCATGTCGGCCATGGGACATAGGCACGGGTCTGGTGGCGATAGAGGCGCTCTGCGCAAGCTGTGCTCCTCCGAGCACGGTGCCGCGGGACGAACCCCAAGCCGACTCAGCCAGACAAGCTACGGAGGGGTCCAAAGCTAATCGCTGATTCTCCGGCGTCTATAGCCCTTCACAACGTTCAGCCTTGAGCCAAAATGGCTACGGTTCCTCCTCCTCCTCCTCCTCCTCCTCCTCCTCCTCCTCCTCCTCCTCCTCTTCCTCCTCCTCCTAGGTACGTAATGGCCGGGGCGACCGACGGCGACGACTACGACGACGACGGCGACGGTGACGGTGACGGCGACGGCAAGGGCGAGGGCGAGTCGGGGGCGGCCAAGAGGGGGGCGTGCATGATGGGGGGGCGCAAAGTATGGCCCGCGGCCTGTGCGCGACCCAGGGCGGGGCCAGGGACGTAATGAAACAAGAAGAGGCGCCATGAAATTTGAAATATCATGGCCAACGCCATGATATCCATCCCCCCTAGTCATCACCCCCTCTTTGCCGCCCCCGAGCGAGGGCGACGGCGGCGGCGGCGGCGACGACGACGGCGTCCGACAACGGCCGTCGACGGCGTCGACAGCGACGGCGACCACGACGACGACGACGACGATGGCGGCCTCCGACGAGCCGCTCCGCCGAGGCCGTCTTTCTGGCACGCCGTCACTCCCGCATCCGCGCCGGCGCCGGCGCTCCGGCGGCGGAGGCGCGGTTGAGCTGCGCGGCACGGCGGGCCACCTGCTTCGGGGCGCGCGGGGGCGCGGGGCCGGCGCCGGCGCCCACGCCGATGACGACGCCGAGCCCCACCCAGACACCTGCGGGGGCCCTCGCCGGGCCCCAGGACCATGAGAAAACAATCCGGGATGCACAGCCGGCCCGTAGGAAGGGGTCGAGACTTCCAGGGACCCCGTACTGAAGAAAACATCGCATCTCTAGGCACTCAGACGACGGTGACGACCTCGCCGACGACGACGCCGACGACGCCGACAGCGTCGCCGATGCTTCCGCCGATGCTGCCGCCGCCGCATCCGTCGTCGGCGGCGGCTGAGTCGTCGGAAGCCCAACACATAGGGGGTGAATCCTTCACGCAATGATCCCAGAGCTTTCCGCAGAAGCACTCGCTGGTGACACAGACAAGCAAGCATAGCAACGCGGCGACGACGAGGGCCGCGGTGAGGAGGGAGGAGGGGGCTTCAGGCCATGCTGGCAGCAGTCTCCAAGGGGATCGTCGTATCGCCGCCGTCGTCGTCGTCGTCGTCTCCTCCTCCTCCTCCTCCTCCTCCTCCTCCTCCTCCTCCTCCTCCTCCCTCCTCCTCCTCCTCCATTCCTTCCTCACAGATAAAAGTCATCCTGGTCGCGCCACGAGGCCGGTCGAAAGGGCGGGCCGGGCGTTTCGCCTGAGATTGTGTTCAAAGCTTGAAAGAGCTTCTCGGATTGAGGGCGGGTCGGATTCGAAATGCGGCTCTCGCCTTAGCGCCGCGCGCATTCGTGCAAATATATTGTAACAATTTAACGATTTGAGAGCGTGTCGTTGTCGAAATGCGACTCTCGCCTCAGCGCCGCGCACATTCGATTCAGAAATGCGCAAGAGCTTCACGGATTGAGGGCGGGTCGTTTTCAAAATGTGGCTGTCGCCTCAGCGCCGCGCTCATTTGTTTTAAAACTGTTGCAAGAGCTTCACGGATTGAGGGCGGTTGGCTTTCAAAATGTGGCTCTCGCCGTAGCGCCACGCACATTCGTTGAGAAATGTGCAGGAGCTTCACAAATGGATGGCGGTTGGCTTTCAAAATGTGGATCTCGCCGTAGGGCCGCGCACATCCGTTTGAAACACTGCAAGAGTTTCACTGATTCTCACGGTTACCGTACCAACAAAAGGTGTTTTCTTTGAAACGCTTCAGGATTGTCATGGCGCAGCAGTTACATGTATTCGATGTGATGAAGTCCCAGGAATGGTGTTCTGGCACATTCAGGATCGTCAAGACGCTACAGTCAGCTTAACTCGTGGCGTTGAAGTCCTGAGAATCGTGTTTTGGCACGCTTCAAGACGCTCACACGTTTGTCCTCCAACGGGGCAATTCCCTCAGTGGAAATATTACCTTGTATGGAGCCTTTGAAAAGAAGGGTGTATTTCCACATCGCTGATGAGCCTTGTGTCTACACTGGTCCTCCTCCTCTTCTTCTTCCTGCTCGCGCCCAGACGGCTGAACAAAAACGATGTACCTCGAGCGCAAGAGGGGGGACGGAGGTGAGGGAGGATAGAGGATCGGGGGATCCGAGGGACGAGGATCAAACTTTCTCTGACCTCTCAGAAGAGCCGAGGGGTCAAAAACGAATTGATCCTTCGGCCTGCGATGGTCAAACGTTTTCGGATCCCCTGGAGCCGCAGGGCAAAAGTTCCCCCGATCCTTCGGCCTCCCCAAGACATTCGACGTTGTGTCGTTTAACGACGTGGTTCCCCAAGGGTCTGGACCCCATCCCACGGACCACTTGCTTCTTATCCTCAGTCGGCTTGTGACAGCCCCGGGGCCCCGTATGGGCCCCCAGAGGCCGAAAAAAACAGAACGCCTTAGGTCGTGTGTTGTGCCACTGCGCCTATCTTCGGTCCATAACGCAGGACTCTGGCAGCCGTTCGGGGCGACTCGGGACCCGCCCAGAACGCTCGGAAACCCAACGCGCAGGCACCTGAGACCAGGACTCAAGAACAGGATTCTAAAAGGCAGGATTCTAAAACAAAATTCGCCGGCCCAACGGGCCAGAGGCGTGCTAAGATCTCCGGTAACTGCTAAATAATACTTCTGTTTCGCGCGCGCGGGGCGGCCCCTGGGGGTCCCCGGACGAAAAGTACCCCGGGCGATCCCCGGCAGACTCGGGTCAGAGATGGTTTTCCTCCTGGGCGCCGCCCCCGTGGCCCTCCAGAGAGCCCCAAGAAGGGCCACGAGGCCGCCAAGAGCCCTCCAAGATGGTTCAAGAGTGCTCCGAGATGCCACACGATCGTTCCAAGACGCCCAAGATGGCCCCCAGACGCCCCAAGAGGCCTCCAAGAGCACTCCCCAGAGGGCCCCAAGAGGCAAAATTCATTACTTTCCTTAGGTTTTGGGCAGATTTTGGCGTGTCCATCTTTTCGGCTTCCCGACGCCCCAAGACGGCCCAAGAGGCCCCCAAGATCGCCCCAAGAGGGCCCAAGAAGCTCCCAAGAAGGCCCCAAGATGGCCCAAGAAGGCTCCAAGACGGCCCCAGAGGCATCCAAGACGGCCCCAGAGGGGCCCAAGAGGGCCCCAAGCGATGCCCCAAAGGGGGAACACAAAACAAAACTTCGAGCCCTCGGCCTCAAGAAGCCCCCAGGAGGCCTCAAGAGGCCCCTTAGAGGCCCCAAAAGCCCCCAAGAGGCCCTCAGGAGGCCCCCAAGCGACGCTGAAGAGGCCCCCCAGCGGCCCCAAGAGGCTCCCCAAATGCCCCCTCCAGCACGCAAGCAAATGCCAACGACCCGACACGTCTAAGAGTCCCCACGAGGCCACCAAGAGGCCTCCCAAAAGAGCCCCCATAGGCAACAGGCTTCCACACGGGCAACGACGCTGTCAAGACTCCCCTAGCGGCCACCAAGAAGCCTCCCGAGAAAGCCCCCCTAAGCGAGAATACATTATGTCCTATGCGGAAGCAACCCCGAGCGTACCCAGGAGGACTCTAACCTTCTACCAAGGCACGGTGGCAGGATCCCCTTCGAAACTTTTCGGCCCTCCTGGACAGCCCCGGCTAATCTCGAAAGTCTGCAGAGGTCTCTCGGGCCATCTTGCCACTCTCGCCCCGCTGCTACCCAGCTACGCGTCTTCCACAAGCGCGGTGGCGGATATGCGCGGCTCAGTCATGCGAAATGGGCCAGCGGAATGAGCGAAACGATTCAATAAAGGGCAGCCGCTGGGGACCAAATGCGCCAGGGCGGCCAAGGCGGGGTCCTATAAGCACGACACGGTGGCCAACCACTGGAAATCAAACACCCAGGGGCAAGCAAAGCGAGGGGCAAATGGTTGGGGCCTTGCGAGGAACTCCCCGAAGCGCGACACACTGAGCCAACTTTGACAGCTTGTGGTGCCAAAGTAATATCGACTCGCAGAAGCACTGGACGGCCGTAGGTGCAGGCCAGCCATGGCGAAGCAACGACGACTTCCTATCAATATGTGTGTGTCTTCTTCCGCGACTCGCCGATGGATCCTGGGCCCAGCACGGCTGCGGCAACCTGGATGGAACTGGAACTCCGAAGGCCGCCTCGGACATTGTCGAAAACCGACAGAAGCCCAGGTGGGCTTCGCGCGCACGAGGGGGTGATACGAGGGGGGCGGCCTTCTCAGAAGGCGGTTGGCTTCTGCGAGGGCGGGCGCCGTCTCAGAGAAGCACGGAGCCATCTAAGAAGCCTTCTTGAAAGGCTTAAAAGGAGCCGTCTTGCAATCTTCGAGGCCCTTTCTAAGAAGGGCTCGCCTTCGTAGAAGCCTCCTGCCATCTCAGAAAGCCGCCCCCCCCTAGCGCCACGCCCCTGCACGCGCCATGAACTAGGACCAGAGATCCATTACCGTGCCTTGTGCAAGTTGGGGCGTGGAAGAATGTCAAAGTATGTCTGATAAGGTTTCTGTACAGTGGAGGCCAGTCCACAGGAAACCATCCACAAGAAACCCAACCCTCAGACCCCAGGGTGTCCATTGATTGTGGGAAAGGAACGTCACGCCTTCCACAGCAAAACCATCGAAACCCAAGACACCCAGGGCACCCTGGAGGCAAGAGCAGGGTGCTTCTTGGCATGGGCCCCCACTGCATGGGGCACCCCCCGTGGGCCGCATCCCACCGCATGCATCGACATCCCCGCCCGAAGCCGCGACCCCTCGCAAAAGGCCATGGAACTGCGCTCCCGCGGCGACGATCCCAGGTACCAAAGCAATGGATAAGCGCCCCGAGACTCCAAGATGATCCGGGCAGCCAAGGACGCCGAAATGGCCCCAAATGCCTCGACGACGGCCCAAGATGGCCCCAGGGCGGCCTAGTATGACCTCAAGACGGCACAAGGTGCCTTTGAGAGGGCCCTCAAGGGCCACAAGCGGCCCTTCAATAGGGTCCGAAGAACACAAACTCATGATTAGTTTCCCTTCGGCATATGAAGAATTGTTGCATTCTCCTCGTTCCTGGCTTCTGTCAGCTCAAGACGGCCCAAGAAGCCTGCACGACGGCCCATAAACAGTTCAAGAGGAGCCCAAGAGGGGCCCTCGGTGGCCCAAGAGGTTCCACGCTGAACCAAAAGGCATCCATGACGGCCCCAAAAGGCCCAAGACGCCTATGGTGGAACTCAAGACGGCTTCAGAAGGCCTTTCGACTGCCTAAGACGCCCCCACGACGGCCCCCAGCCACCCACAATACGGCCAAGAGGGAGGGCCCCATGGGACCCCCAACAGTGCCTTACAGGAGGCCAAGACGGCCCCAAGACGGCCCAAACGAGTTCCATGAAATATCCTCCGGTAGGTAAGACGAAGGGTATCGCATGTGACGGCATTCCTCTTCCTCCTCCTGCTCCTACTCCTCCCCCCCCATCATCCTCATCCTCATCCTCATGCTCATCCTCATCCTCATCCTCATCCTCGTCCTCGTCCTCATCCTCATCCTCATCATCATCATCATCATCATCATCATCATCATCATCATCATCATCAGCAGCAGCATCAGCATCAGCATCAGCATCAGCATCAGTATCAGCATCATCATCATCATCGTCATCATCATCCTCATCATCATCATCAGCATCATCATCATCATCAGCATCATCATATTATTTCTCATCATCCTCATCATCATCATCATCATCATCCTCATCGTCATCATCAGCAACATCAGCATCATCATCAGCAGCATCATCAGCATCATCACCATCACCATCATCATCAGCATCATCAGCATCATCATCATCAGCATCGTCACCATCCTCCTCGTCCTCACCTCATCAGCATCATCATCAGCATCATCATCATAACCATCATCATCGTCGTCATCAGCATCAGCATCAGCGTAAACATCATCATCAGCAGCCGCATAATCGACATCAACATCATCATCATCGTCATCATCAACCTTATAATCATCATCAGCATCTTCATCATCAGCAGAATGATCAGCATAAGCATCATCCTCAGCATCATCAGCAGCATCGCAACCACCATCACAACCATAAATAGCAGTATCATAAGCATCAGCATCATCACCATCAGCAGCACCATTACAAGCATCAGCATCATCAACAACACTATCATCATAATCGTCATCAGTAGCAGCATCAACATCATCAGCATCATCCGCATACTCAGCATCAGCAGCATCAGCATCAACATCATCATCAGCATCATCGACGTCATCAGCATTATCCTAAGCCTCATCAACATCATCGGCATCAGCATCATCAGCATCATCCGAATCATCCGCATCATCATCAGCAGCATCAGCATCATCATCAGCATCATCAGCATCATCACCAGCAGTATCACCATCATCACCATCATCGCCATCATCATCAGCATCCGCATCAGCATAATCATCATCATCGTTATCATCGTAGTCGTCATCACCAGCTTCATCATCATGATCATCGTCCTCAACAACGTCATCGTCACCGCGTTCGTCATAATCATCATCAGCAGCATCACCAGCATAAGCAACCTCATCCTAAGCATCATCAGCATCTTCAGCATCATCATCATCACCAGCATGAGCATCGTCTTCATTATGGTCACCATCGTCATCATCACCATCCCCAATCAGCAACATCATCATCATCATCATCATCATCATCATCATCCCCATCATCAGCATCCCCATCATCATCCGCATCATCATCATCACCCTCATCACCACCGTCACCGTCAGCACCATCATCATCAGCAGCACCGCTACGATCGTGGTCATGGTCGTCATTATCATCGTCGTCACCACCATCACCATCACCATCACCAACGCCACCATAAAAATCCCCAACACCATCAACATAACAACCATCAAAATCATCACAATCATCACACTCATCACCATTACCCTCGCCATCATCACCATCGCCCTCATCATGCTCACCACCATAGTCATGACCGTCACCATCACCATCACCACCGCAAGCATCATCACCACAACCACCACCACCATCATCATCATCCTCAGAGTCATCCGCATCACCATCATCAGCATCATCAGCACCAGCATCACCATACCATCATCATCAGCATCATCATCACCATCACCGTCACCATCATCGTCAGCATCAGCAGTATCAGCATCATCATCAGCATCCTCATCCTCATCCTCGTCCACGTCCTCATCCTCATCCGCAGCAGCATCACCATCGCCACAATTATCGGCACGCTCATCATCATCACGGCTCCCCCGACCCTGGAGACACGAGGTGTGACGGCACCCCGTGCCCCCCCGCAGCATCGCCAACTAGAAAGCTGGGCCAGCACGCCGGCGGCCCAGGACCTTCGGCGACGACGACCCCACCGACGAGGCAGCAGGCGAGCAACCCGATGGGGCAAACAGCCTTGCCGCATGGACATGCCGGGCGGGCAGCGGGCACGACGACAACAACGGGGCGCACCCCCCCTCCATAATAAATCGTCACGTGCAGGCGCGTGTGCACTGAACACGAGAGGAGGAGAGGAAGAAGAGGACGAGGAGGAAGAGGACGAGGACGGAAGAAAGACAAGGATAACGGTTTTGGCAATGCGGCCACGCGCACACTCCTCGGCGCAAGTCCGCCATCGGGGAGACGTAAGACTCGGGATCGGGAGACTCGAGTTGGCCTGACGGGGCCGTCGGAAAACGACCAGACCCCGTCCGAAAGCTGACGGGAGCTCCCACTGCGGATCTCCCACGAGAACGGGACCGCCAGAATCCAGGACGCGCTTGTCAAAAAGCGTGGGCGAAGCCGAGTTCTGGCGCACTCGAGCCTTACGTGTCCCCGGGAAAACAGGCCCGACTCGCCGACGGGGGCAGGACCTGACAGGGCAGGGAGGGGCCAGGCCGCACCGCGGGACGCCTCTTCCTCCTACGCCCCCCGCCCGTTCCGCTGAGCAACGCCTGTTCCTATCGTTCCTTCTTCCGGACGGAGAGACAAGGGCTCCCAACTTCGCGCTTCGCGCTGCGCGACGCGCGAAGTGCAAATAACTTCGCGCTCTCGCGCCGCCTCCCAGGGGAGAAGAGGAGGATAAGGAATCGGAACCGAACCGCGAAGCGCGAATAACTTCGCGCCCTCGAGGGCGCCCTTGGAGAGAGTGGTCTCGTGAGACGATTGGCTCATGAGACTTTCCAGAAAACTCCCAGGTATCCGGCGGCCCTCGCCTCTGCAGCCCATGTGGCGCGTCGGGAAGTCTCGGAAATCCTGGGAACCTTTCACATCCTTACAAGAAGGAAAACGCTATAACCATAAACTTTTGGCGCTCCGCGCGGATTCCTTGGATCTGCGCTGTACCCCCCTCCCTGGCGCGTGGAGCGCGCCAGGGGCGGCGCCGGGGGGGCCCAGCGCGGCTCCGAGAAATCCGCGCGGAGCGCCAAAAGTCTTATGTTTACAGCGTTCATTCCTCTCGGCGGCGACGATAAGGGCGAATAGCCCAGGGGCGGACATTACACGCATTCGCCCGGGAGCCTTGCCGAAGACACAGATCACCGGCGCACCTGAATGCATGTGTTGCTCTCCCCTGGGCTATTCGCCCCTGTCGTCGCCTCTGATCCTCTGCGAATCCTGGAACGTCTCACTGCAGGTGTCCAGCGGTGTGGTCATCGGGTCGGGCGAAAGGGGGGGACAGCAAAGGGGGGGTTTGAGAATCAGCTCACGTAGCTGACTTTCCCGGCGCCTCCCGGCGCCGGAGGCGGCCATGTATCGAGGAATGGGCCCCTCGGTGAGGCCGAAACCAGCTGCATGCAGCAAATTTCGTAACCCCCCCTTTCCCAATCCCCCCCTTTCGCCCTGCCCGATGTGGTCAGACAGCTGACATGTGGCCGGCGCACAGGCGGGCGCTGCAGTTCGAGAGAGCCTGCACGCCCCGAGCGCGGATCGGAGTGGCACGTCACCGCGGCTCCCGCGGCCAGGGTGCCACCGGCGCCCACCAGCAGCGGGATCGGCTTCACGTTAGGTGCCCAGCGTCAGCAAGAGGGGGGGTGGCCTTGTAATTATCATGACTTCTTGCTCCTTCATGCCCCAACCCTCGGTCTAACCGATCCCAATCCCCACTGGCATGGCCTTGGCGCCTCTGGTCGATGTAGCCCCCGAGATCCATGGATGGGGATGTAGGCTGTTCCCGACTGGGGTTCGAGAGGCCTGTCCCCAACTGGAGGGGTGGCACCGTGGGGCTGAGACACCAAGACACGGTGGGGATGGGGATAGGTCAGGCGATACTGAACTGCGGAATGAAGATCTGGACAACCCTCGGAGCATCCTGCACACTCCTCGGGACCCCCCTACGATTTGGAGCTGCGTGCCTTCCGTGGAGCTGAAGGCCTTCAAGATTGGTGCAGCGATACTTTAGCATGGGGCAAGCGGGCCCTGACGGCCTTCCACAAGACCGAGCTGTTCGCCCTGGGTTGTGTCCTGACACTCCCGGGGCGCGTGGCGAGCCCCGAGAGCCCGAAAACGACGGAAAAACCCAGGGCCCGCTTTCCCTCAGGACCCGCTGCCCCGACGGCGAGATGCTGATTCTGAAGGGGCCCTGGGACACACAAACAAATAGACACAAATAACAAGATGACCCATCTTCTCCCATATGTTCTGGGTCTTGTCTCCCACCCCCAATTCCAATGTTCTCGCATATCTTCCCGGGAACCGACGATGCGTTGTGTCTGTCTGTTTTTGTTCCCCTCCTGACTCGGAGCCCGCTCCCCCGACGGCGAGATGCTGATTCACCCCCCCCCCGCCGCCGCCGGCCCGCCTCGCCCAGGGGGGCCCCTGCAGGCGAGTTCTGGCTCCTCCGGCGGCGGTCGGCGCGCGCGCGCGCGCCTCTCCCCGCCGCCGCCCCGCTGCTCGCGAGCGCGCGCGTGCGCCTGGTGGAAGGCTTCACTCACGCCGCCTCCAAGTTGCCTCATGCCTCCCCTTCCCTCCTGCTCCAAAGCCTCCTTCCCCCTCCCTGTTCCTCCTCCTTTTCCTGCTCCTCCTCCCCCTCCTCCTCCTCCTCCTCCTCCTCCTCCTCCTCCTCCTCCTCCTCCTCCTCCTCCTCCTCCTCCTCCATTCCCGTTTCTTATAGTAACTTGTCCCTGTCGCACCCCGAGGCCAATGTTTAAGGCGGGCCGGGCGTTTCGTTTGAGACTTCCTCACCTTTTATTACGCTGAAGCTTAAACAGTGGCAGCAGCTTCACAGATGGAGGGCGGATGGTTTTCAAAATGTGACTCTCGCCTAAGCGCCGCGCACATTCGTTTTTAAAATTCAAGAGTTTCACGCATTGAAGGCGGGTGGTTTTCAAAATGTGGCTCTCGCCTTAGCGCCGCGCACATTCCTTTCTTAAATTTGCAAGAGCTTCTCGGATGGAGGGCGGGTGGTTCTTAAAATGTGGCTCTCGCTTTAGCGTCGCGCACATTCGTTATTGAAATTTGCAAGAGCTTCTCGGATTGAGGGCGGGTGGTCCTCAAACTGTGGCTCTCGCCTGAGCGCCGCACACATTCGTTGTTAAATACGCAAGAGCTTCACGGATTGAGGGCGGTTCCCTTTCAAACTGTAGCTCTCGCCCTAGCGCCGCGCACATTCGTTTTGAAAAAGTTGCTAGCGTTTCACGGGTTCTCACGATCGGCGTACCAGAAATCGTGTTTTGGAAAAAGACATGATTATGCGGGTGCAACAGAAATATGTTGGTTCGCGGTGTTGAAGTCCCAAGGACGTCGTTCTCGCACGATTCCGGATAGTCAAGACGCAACAGTCCGGTTGATCCCTGGCGTTCAAATCCCGAGAATAACGTTTTGGCATGCTTCAGGGTCGTCAAACGGTTGCCTTCCAACGAGGCAGTTCCATCAATGGAAGTGAAACGTTGTAGGGGCCTGTGGAGGGAGCTAGGAGGGAGGGTTAATTCAAACATCGTTGATGACTCTTGGGTTTACACTGGTCCTCCTCCTCCTCCCTCATCATCATCAGCAGCATCACGCCGTGGATGTAGGCATTGCCACGCCGCGGATGTAGGAATCGCCACGCCGTGGATGTAAGAACTGCCACGCTGTGGATGTAGGCATTGCCGCGCCGTGGATGTAGGAATTGCCAGCCCTCCCCGAGAGGGAGCCGCCCTCCACGAGAGGGAGCCGCCCTCCACGAGAGGGAACCGCCCTCCACGAGAGGGGGCCGCCCTCAAAGAGAGGGAGCCGCCCTGCACGAGAGGGAGCCGCCCTCCACGAGAGGGAGCCGCCCTCCACGAGAGGGAGCCGGATGTAGGCATTGCCACGCCGTGGATGTAGGACTTGCCACGCCGTGGATGCAGGACTTGCCACGCCGTGGGTGTAGGCATTGCCACGCCGTGGATGTAGGAATTGCCACGCCGTGGATGTAGGAATTGCCACACCGTGGATGTAGAAATTGCCACGCCGTGGATGTAGGAATTATCACGCCGTGGATGTAGGAATTGCCACGCCGTGGATGTAGGCATTGCCACGCCGTGGATGGAGGAAGCTTCGCCGCCCTCCACGAGAGGGAGCCGCCCTCCACGAGAGGGAGCCGCCCTCCAGGAGAGGGAGCTGCCCTCCACGAGAGGGAGCCCGCGTTTTCAACGCAGGCCCTCCCCTCCTCACCTCCCCCATTGCCCTCTACGAATGGAAGCCGCCCTCCACGAGAGGGAGCCGCCCTCCACGAGAGGGAGCCGTCCTCCACGAGAGGGAGCCGCCCTCCACGAGAGGGGGCCGCCCTCCACGAGAGGGAGCCGCCCTCCACCAGAGGGAGCCGCCGCCCTCCACGAGAGGGAGCCGCCCTCCACGAGAGGAAGCCGCCCTCCACGAGAGGGAACCGCCCTCCATGAGAGGGAACGCCTCCACGAGAGGGAGCCGCCCTCCACGAGAAGGAGCCGCCGTCCACGAGAGGGAGCCGCCCTCCACGAGAGGGAGCCGTCCCCCACGAGAGGGAGCCGCCCTCCACGAGAGGGAGCCGTCCCCCACGAGAGGGAGCCGCCCTCCACGAGAGGGAGCCGCCCTCCACGAGAGGGAGCAGCCCTCCACGAGAGGGAGCCGCCCTCCACGAGAGGGAGCAGCCCTCCACGAGAGGGGGCCGCCCTCCACGAGAGGGAGCCGCCCTCCACGAGAGGGAGCAGCCCTCCACGAGAGGGAGCAGCCCTCCACGAGAGGGAGCAGCCCTCCACGAGAGGGAGCAGCCCTCCACGAGAGGGAGCAGCCCTCCACGAGAGGGAGGCGGCGTTTTTCAACGCAGGGCCTCTCCTCCTCACCTCCCCCACTGCCAGCCCTCCACGAGAGGGAGGCGGCGTTTTTCAACGCAGGGCCTCTCCTCCTCACCCCCCCCACTCTACAATTACTCAATATGAATATACTCTCCCTCTTCCCCTGATGGCGTCCGGGTGCTGGCCGCGCACCCTCCGCGTACTGTTTTTTTACACACAAGATGCCCGGGAAATCCCGGGAAACGGCTCTCGCTGAGGCGCCGGCGTCACTTTTTCCCAAAATGCTGCTCTCGCGCCGGCGTCATTTTTTCCCAAAATGCTGCTCTCGTTGAGGCGCCGGCCTCATTTCTGCTCCCGAATCCTTCCCCTGATGGCGTCCGGGTGATGGCCGCGCACCCTCCGCGTACTGTTTTTTTACACACAGGATGCCCGGGAAATCCCGGGAAACGACTCTCGCTGAGGCGCCGGCGTCATTTTTTCCCAAAATGCTGCTCTCGTTGAGGCGCCGGCCTCATTTCTGCTCCCGAATCGTTCCGAATCGTGCTCCCGCTGCAGCGTGGGCCTCATTTTCGGATCGGTGTTTGGCCTCCGTCGTTCAGGATGGCGTTCTCGCCCCAGCGCGGGCCTTTTTCTCGCGCGCCCATCCGCCCGCCACCACCGCGCCGCACCGCCACCACCACCACCACCACCACCACCACCACCACCACCACCACCACAACCACCACCAGCACCAGCACCAGTACCAACACCACCACAGCACCACCACCACCACCACCACCACCACCACCACCACCACCACCACCACAACCACCACCAGCACCAGCACCAGTACCAACACCACCACCACCCGCACCACCACCACCACCACCACCACCATCACCACCACCACCACCACCACCACTACCACCACCACCACCACCACGACAACCACGCACACACGCACGCACGCACGCACGTGCACCACCACCCACTACGCACGCGCGCGCGGAACCACAGGTCCGCTACGACACGCGTCCGCGGATAGAGAAAATCAGCGCCATGGTAAGGGATGGGAGGAAAGGGTAGGACGTCAGATATGACGCGAGCGCACCTAGCTTGCCCCCTCCCCCCTCTCCCTCCTCCCTCTTCCCCTTCCCTTTCGTCCTCCCCCACCCCCGGGAGGACGATTTCTATGGCTGTCGGTGGGTGCGCATTCCACCTTTCCAGTCCTTAGGAGGAAGGCCGAAGGGCCCAGACCCCATCACGTCGTGAACATGTCACGACGGAATGTTTCTATGGCTGTTGGTGGGTGTGCCTTCCACCTTTTCGACCGAACGTGGGCTGGGGCGAATGCCATTCCTCAGCCACGCCAAGAGAATAGGGAAGTGTTGTGTCCAAGAGTGCACTGAGGCGAAGGTTTCTCTCCCTCACTCTCGGCAGCCCCCTTACCCCTTTCCCTTCCACTTCTCTCGCCCGCCCCCCCCCATCCCCTATTCTGGCCCGCTCCGCCTCCTTCTCTTGCCGCCCTCCACGCGAGGGAGCCGCCCTCCACGAGAGGGAGCCGCCCTCCACGAGAGGGAGCCGCCCTCCACGAGGGGGAACCGCCCCCCAAAAGAGGGAGCCGCCCTCCACGAGAGGGACCGCCCTCCACGAGAGGGAGCCGCCCTCCAGGAGAGGGAGCCGCTCTCCCTGAGACGGAGCCGCCCTCCACGAGAGGAAACCGCCCTCCACGAGAGGGAGCCGCCCTCCACGAGAGGGAGCCGCCCTCCACGAGAGGGAGCCGCCCTCCACGAGAGGGAGCCGCCCTTCACGAGAGGGAGCCGCCCTCCACGAAAGGGAGCCGGCGTTTTCAACGCAGGCCCTCTCCTCCTCGCCTCCCCCACGTGTCCCTCCACGAGAGGGAGCCGGCGTTTTCAACGCAGGCCTTATTCTCTGCTCATCCACCGCGCCGGGCACAGTGCTTTCGATTTGGGGTTGTTTCTTATTTACTGGTTCACTGAATATGGTAATGGGGATTAGCGCTTTCGACATTGAGTTCTGGTAGCACGCCGCACGAGGTAGGCAAGAAATTTGGAACTCTCTTAGGGCTCCGGGCTAAGGCCCTTGAATTTGCGTGACGCTAAAAGTTTTTAGAATCATTTTCCAGTCGCCAGAGGGAAGGCGAAGGTGTTTGGGGTTAAGGTTATCCCGGTCAGGGTGTTGGTTCCTGGGGGCCACACATCGGCCCTTGCAGGTTTCAGGGCTTAGAGGGTGGGGATTCCCTTTTAAGTTCGGCACCTCTTGTCCCGGCCCGCCCAGCTCAGGGGTAGTAGCCGGATCCTCTAAAAGGGCAAGCTCGCCCCTCAACCACGGGGTGGGGTCTTCCGGCATACCCAGACATCTCGGGTCGAGGAGCACAACCTGTCATATCATGACAGGCGTCCTTACGTCCGGTGCAGCGCGGGTGTATAGGCTGGCGCCTTTCGCACTGGAACTCTGCCAGGACTGTGGGCTACGGCTATGCTTCGCATACCCATCTAGCCTGCGGTCCGTTGTTTCGGCTGGTCCGACTCAACAAACAAGGCTGGAGTTCTGGCAGGAAGCCGCACTAGGCAGGTAAGGCTAGCGCCGTCCGCACTGGAACTCTG